CCATCTTAAGCTGGGTATACATCTACGAAACGAACACCGAACGAACAGCGAACGCGAACATTTAATGTTATAATTCGGGAGTTGTATATGCCGAAGCAAATGCGAACAGAATGTTCGTTTCGCGTTCGGCTCGATTCGCTGCTGTTCGCTCCTCTTCGCAATACCCATACATGTAATATACTTCACGTATAGCAATACCATAACCCATGGTGGAAAGAAATAAGGTGAGGCAATGCGCATCATGAGTTTCAGTTTGGGATCAGCCAGTAGAGAACGCCGCATAGTTTCGGCCATTACTAGCGGTCTATTTGAACAGTATTATACTTAACTAGGAAATTCAAACAAATAGGATTGGATAGTAACAAGTCAGCAACCTCTTATTATTCCACGGAAAAGGTTCACCGTGCGCCCACCCGTGCCCACAACGTGAGTCGTCCGTCTCGACACGTTCAGCTCCGTCTCTGCCGCGCCAAGAGACTTGACGATGCTCTTCACCAAACTTTTATTCCTGCATAATAGAATATTGCAAATTCGCGCGAGAACATCGGAAATTTCCTTAAAAAACTAGAAAAATTGAATATTAAATTACCCTTCGGTACACACTTAGACGCAAAAAAGCGGTACACTAAAAATTTGGGAAAAATTTACCAAATTTCAAGTGATCATAACTTGGTAAATAATGAAGATAAAAATAAATATAAAAATGGAAAATGAAGCTCCAAAAGTCCTCTTTAAGACTATTTGAATGGCAATTATGCTCGGCTATTTTTTTGAAAATGGCGAATGATAAAGTGAGAGGATGTAAAATTGAGAATCGAACATCCGAGTTTGTGACGGTGCATGGCGTGAATCAGGTATTACAGCGTAATGTAACGAAGTGCACATGAAAGTATAGAGTGTTAGCTTTAAAATGCTTGTTTACCGAGCACGATACGATCATTTTTCGCGGAGTTATGCACATTTAAAGAAAAAAAGCGTTTTATAGACTTGCACCCAGAAAAGATTTAGTTATATTAAACAAATGAGATAAAATGATGGAATTTTACTAATTTATATCTCAGTAACTATGGGCAAAAATGTTTTTTTATAATTAAAAAATTTTATGCTCTTTGCTCAGCAATATAAAAAAATGTTGGGATCAAAATATACTATACAACATACCTGTACATGACGTATTCCCTTAAGGTAAAGAAATCATTTCTCTAAAATTAAATAAAAGTCTAGTAAGGTCAAAATTTAAACAAACTTTTTTCTCGGTTGCTCTTCACAGTAACAACTGGGGTAGATCGGAGAAAGGTGTTTTCAGTCGAATTATCAAGCATTTGCACCGGCAATATCCGAGATCATCACCCGCGAATCGCCCATCGTATCTTTCGCGACGATGCTGTCGTCATTTGATAGCGGAGTGGAACGAATACAGGCGAATTGTGATTGATAGCGTCGCATTAAGGTTCCATTACATGAGGAAGGCAATTGTACTTATGCTAATTAAGCCATGGTATTATTTCAACTTGTGCCTCAACATCGCCCGGCGGCGATCGGGGAGTGGTTGCGAACATCTTTTTCGATGAGCTAATTAAGGCTACGTCTAACTACAAGTAGCGAGACCATTTATTAGCGAACCACGACGCTCCGTCATCGCAACGCTGCTATTAAGTGGAAATGCAATCGATAATCCCTCCCCCCCCGTGCTCCGTGGCGGCCCTGGTATGTATGTACGTACACCAGATAAATTAGCTGCACCGATTTTGTCTCGGTCAAACATTTGCTCGTCGGCGATAACTGTGATTTATCGAGCGTAGGATAACATAGATATTTGCAGATGTGATGATTACGACGAAGGTGGGCGAGGGGGACATACGCAGGAGGTAAATCTAAATTTTCAAATATTAGCGTTTAGAGGAAAAAAAACAGCTTAATTAAAACGTGATTTATGTTAGCGAAAATCTCGATAGAGTCAAACGCATAGAAATTGGAAGTTTTGAAAGGGAGACGGCTATCCAAGCAGAACAAGAAGTCATGATAAAGTCAAAATGACATAATAACTATCAAAAGTTACATTTTGTAAATAGCAATGGCTCGTATGATAAAATCAAAGAATAAGAGAAGGGACTCAGAGCCTGAACAAGGTTGTAATGTCCAATAAAATTACTTTATTTTAATAGCAAATGTATATATACGTTTATTTTGTCGTTATACTGAGGATGGTCCAATAAGGACCGAAACGTATGTATACACACATTTGCTATTAAAATAAAGTAATTTTATCGGACATTACAATCTTGCTCAAGCTCTGAGCCGCTTCTCTTATTCTTTGAGTTATATTTTAATCGTGACAAAAATTGATGAAATTACGAGTTTGAAATCTCGAGGCGATGCTTTACATGGTTCGCGATAATTGTATGTTAGGTCTTAAATATGGTAATAATAAGTGCTATGGGATATAATGTAAAATGTTCTTTTTAAAAAAATTACACGGTAATTATGCATAAAAGCGACTTCCTCTCCGATTTGTTTTATTTTTAAATATGTTGTTGGGGATGTCTTCCCGAGTCATTTCATATATATATATATAAGGGGGGGACTCAAATAGTTTCGGAGATACAGGCTGAAAAAGGTTACAAATAATAATATAGGTTTGTAATATTTCACGTATACCGAGATCCACCCCCACCCATCCTTGCGTGCGGAGAGGTGCGGTAGTCCCTGGGGCCCGATTCTTGAATTCATTCGAAGGAGAAACGTATACGAAAATTCTGCTCTGACAGAAAAGTTGCAAGTTGATTGGCTACTCGCATGGCTTTAACCAATAGACTTTCAACTTTTCTGTCAGAGCAGAGTTTTCGTATACGTTTCTTTTTCGAATGAATTCAAGAATCGGGCCCCTGTTTGTTTACGTTTGAAAGTCTTCATATATTTCCGCCAAAGAATATTTATCATTCACTTAGAGATCATCACAGCGTATAGAAGTTCTCTTCGAAATATGCATTTTATATCCTATTCATTTTTACTGTACGAGTGATAGTTTTCGAGAAAAATGATGGAGTCTAAATCTTGTATCTTTTTAACGAATC